AGCCATACCAATGCCACATAAGTTCGGTCAACGGTCAGAAGGGTTTAAAAGTCTTGTTTTGATTAAGTTGAAGTGTCTGGATGAAACTTTATGCAGTATAGGGACCAGGATGACAAATCGGAACAAGTACAAGTGTCTCTAGGCTATTCTGCCTCATTTTTATATAACATTTAAAATGCAATCTGCGTCTTAGCTAAAAGTATCGAAACATAACAAAACAAAAAAGATCAAACAATTACAAAAACAATGGAAAATGTTAGAAGCTCCAACGAGGTTATATTAGTGTGCCACGTTAAACGATACAACCATGCAACTACAACGTTGAAGATTGGATATTTAATTAATTAGGAGAATATATAAGACATTACTTAGGACGTAAAAGTAAACATCTTAATCATTTTGACATCCAGCGGCTGTAATTAAAGATTGTATCAGTTTGTTAGTATTTGACAACGTGAGAATAAGATGTACTTAAATATGCATAACAAAAAAAAACTATTAAAGATTGTATCAGTTTAACTTTTCTATCTATTTTTTGTATGAGAATAATTTGTCTAAGGTGTTATATACACCCTTTTCCATAGGCTTACAAGTCTATATGTTTCTCCTTGACCCACTTTCATGAGCCCGTCCTCTCTCATAAACCTCACATACATCCTCTTCTTAGGGAATAAAATCAGTCTATTTTGCCAAGATGTCAAAAATTGCTTATATTGAGAAGCTAGAGAAGTATTTTCACGAAAAATAGTAACTTGCGTTTGGCCAATTCGTTTGAGAAGTGTTTTTTTTTAACTAGTTGATAAATATATTGTGTTTGGTCAATTTTTTTTTTTAAAAAAAGTGCGTTGTTTTTGAGTATTAATTTATGAAAGAGGACAAGTATCAAGGTTCATTACATATATGATTATTTAAACAGAGAAACAATTTTAAGTATTTATTATGAAAGACTTTAATTCAATTTTTTAAATTTTAATTAAAATAATAAATGCATATTAAAATATTTAATCAATATAAAATATAATCAAAACCAAAGCAATAATATTGAATATCCGTATGATGACTTACTTGTGATGATAATTTTAATATACTAATCTACATCAGTTAAAAAAAATTTAAAATTCATTTCATAAATCACAAGTACGTTGATAATACTACAATCAATTTGACAAGTGATCAATTACTAATACGTATGAATAAGGTCAACACTTAGAAATTACATTATATATAAATAGATTTTTAAAAATATTAAACAATAATTTAATATAAATTCAAAAGCAATAAAGAAATTACAATGTTAAAAAGTCATCTTCTTTATTCACCAAACTCATATGGAGATAGTTGGATGGTTATACTCAATGATTTCAGTAATTATTTATGGTCGAAAAGATTAATAATGAAACATTTATATATAATGTTTTATATTCACAGTAAATTTATTAATTCTAAATCATGAATTCGTATCTGGCTAAATATATCTGTCCTAATTGGATATAATATTTAATATATAATAAATTATATTGCAAAGTCTTATTGATTCTAAATCTTCGTATCAGGGTAGATATACGTCCAATTTTCTGTCTTAAATGGATATACACAATACCATATTTACGTTGCATATCATCAGACTTATTCCAACTTCAATTCAGTAGCCTTTTGGAGCAACGTAGTTCATTTATTAGCAAAAGTCACCTGCCATTGCAAAATCACAGTTTTTCTTGTGAATGTAAGTCATTTTGCCTTCTATTTAAAAGGAATATCACTAAAATTAGTTTCTCCAAGTTTAAAACAATAATTATGTTGAGTACAATAATGATATTGTTCTAGGAACAACTAGTAATGCGATAAACCCAATTGATCATTCTGGGCACACTATTAAAATATTTAAGAGCTCTAATACCCCCAAAGGATCGATCTTTGCATGCAGTAAAGTGTGATATTATTATTATTAGTATTCATGATTTTTTCTCATTGGAAAGTCAGTTAGAACGACGTGAATGAAATTGTTGTACCCCAGTGTATAAGATTTGACAACATAAAAAAGGAAATAGAGTCACTGTCAACTATGAATTGTGCAAAAAGTAAAGTTCTTCTAGAGGGATTTACAGAATTTATGGTCATCTCAATAATTATTTAATTCTAATGCTCATAGCTTAAAACCGTGTTCCAGTTGTATGGAGATAGGGGTAAACTTATGTTGATGTAAAGTTTGATGTTTTATGTTTATTTTTTGTGACCTAGCTGTAATACACTCGTGTAGAGTTGATATGAAAGGATAAGGCAAGTTAAGCACCTAAAATAGACTCCACAAAATATTTAATTTCTTTTAAATAAATAATGGGTCTTGACACAAAATAAGGTTGCGTATTGAACTTTTAATTAAGGTGAATAGAGGCATGCTAGGTAAAAACCAAAGAGACTCCTGCTGTTTACATAGAATCAAATCAATAAGATTTACTATGGCTAGTGTAAATTGAAGTAAAATACATATTAATTAATCATTGCTAAACGATCAAGTATACATGTATATGACTTTGTGTAAACTCGAGTGTAAATAAATATCTTTCGGCATATCTCTTATACGGTTAACTGGTAAAATATTAAGGTCCACATTTTCGCACTTTTCCGTGACTTTTTTTTTTTTACTTTTTCTTTAGCCGAGGGTCCAGAAACAATTTTTCTATCTTTCCAGGATAGGAATAATGATGTCTACCTTTTATATCCCCTCCCCCAAACCCCACTTATAAAAATTCACTGATTTGATTGTTGTTGTTGTTGTTGTTGTTTTTTTCACGCTTTATTGAATACTTAGTTATAGCCAAGCTTATTGTTTTGTTTTTTGATTTAATTATTCGGTATTCAGTATCCACTATTCCAAATATTCGTTTTAGTAAGGTTTTTTTTTTCCAGAACTCGAACGCCCTGTGACTACGCTAAATGTTAAGACTATAAATTAGTGACTAGTCGTACACATAAATGAATGTAGCAAATGAAAGGAAAAAGATTACTACTTTGTGTTTCCATAAACGGGGACTTAATACAGAACATTCTTTTAATACAGGACACTGTTTGTTTAACTAATTGTAGCAAATAAGTAAAACCTTATACCTGCCTTAGTCAAATAAATTGAGAAGCTAAAAGAGGTAATAGCAACAGTACAAAGACCAAAATTCCATCCCATTCTTTCCTTCCAAATATGACTCAAGGAAAGAGCTTAATTAACGCCTATGATTAGACCGAATACAGTCATTTACCTTTTATATAGTATTAAATTTTAAAAAAATGTATTTAAGTTAAAAAGATAATTACAGAATAGTATTGTTTAATGGGTAATAGTAGATTAGTTACTATTTTTACAAAATTTACCTGAAATTATTTTTAAAATGACATGCAACAACAATAGCAACAAACTTAGTGTAGTCCCACGAATGAGGTCTGGGGAGAATAGTGTGTTCGCAGACTTTATTCTTGCTTTAAGAAGGTAGAGATATTGTTTTCGACAGATCCTCGGCACAAGAAAAAATATAAGAGATTATGAAAATACTTTAATTTACACTGTTTGTGTATATAACATATAATTGTTTGTACAATAACTTCATGTTTTGCATAATTCCTTTATTAGGAACTTTTTTGGAATTTTCATTTATTAGACGGTGCTGGTTAGTTCATTTTTCTTCTCCAATAGAAAACACGACTTATCATTTTTTTTTAATTCTTGGATAAGCTGTAGCCACCATATTATTAACAGAGACATACCCAAGAAAAGAAATAGAAAAAAGGTTCTTTCAGAATTGAGAAACGCAAAATAAATCTCGAAATTAAATTGATTAAATTTTCGGTTTACTATAATTGTGTATTATTTCCAGCAGGATAATCTGATTTATGGAACTTAAAAATTATTAAACAAACAAAACCGTGTAAAAGTACAGCTTGCTTTTATATTCACATACTGAGAGGAAAAAAGGAGCAACTATTTTCAAACTCAATGGAATATTTAAGGAAAATCTAACTGGATTTTAGTCATTGACTATATGATTTATTATACTATTTATGAAAGAGAGAGGAGTACTTATATGAGTATATCTATATGTGTAGAAAGAAGAAAAAGAGAGAGAACCAATTTTCTACAAGAAAGAAAAAGTGAAGCTTTTTTTAAAATTAGATTTAAATAGTCAGTATTTCACTATAAAAATCAAGTTTTACTCGTAACTGATTCTTGTGCTATGTTATACAGTCAAACCTTTCTATAACAGGTTCCAAATATTTTTGGATATTATAACAAAGTGCTGTTATAGAAAACATATATTATAACATAACATAAAAATTGATCCCGAAAAAACTTGGCTTTTATAATGAAGTGTTGTTATATAAGGATGTTGTTATAAAGATGTCTGACTGTAATATATATACATCCTCTATAACAACACTTCACTATAGCAGACGAAAATATCGGAACAAATAAGATTGTTATATAGGTTTGGCTGTATATACAACTGACAATGTGAATGATTATTTTACTATATGTGAATTTTAACGTGTGCTAGTAGGTTACTTATTATTTTACCATATTAATAATCAATATCTATTAGGAGATTTAACAAAAATTACCTAATAAGTTATTTATGGAAATATTTTTTACACAATCCAAGCATATATCTTAACTCAATTTTTTTAGTATATCTATATGATTAGAGACTAGAGACACAAATACAATTTTCCACAAGAAAGAAAATGTGAAGGTTTTTTTTTTAAAAAAAAAAATTATGTTATGGAAGGTCTTTAATAAGATTCCATAATAATTTTGCCTTTCCATGATGGGGATTGGTTGGTCTATACCGCACCTTCTTTTGTCCTGTTTGGTTCTACTTTCCTTCTATATAATACATAGTACAAACTCTCTTCCTTTCTGTAGTTTTCTCTTCTTCTTTCCAAGTTCAAAAAGTGTGCGACTCTGAGAGAAAATGGACCAAATGGATTCTTTATGGAGTTATCAAGAGGTAGGAATTAAGTCATTCTTTACTCTCTTGTTTGGTTAATGTCTCAGTTCATTTCCTCTTCACAAGTTTTTCTTCAGAATTTAAAGCCTTCTTAATTGTTTAGATTCACTCTATTCTATTAAATTCTTTTCCTCCTCCTGTTATTAATGCTTCCTTTACTTCTTTTCCTCAATAAGTTTTCTTGTGTTCAATTCACACTTCTCTTCATAGTGTCACTAAAGATTTTCTGCAATAATCCTAAATTCTCTCTGTTTCTGTGAGTGAAGGTTCTGAATATAAGTAAATGGTGTTTGAGTTAAATATAGCGACTGTGAGAATTCATATAGCCGACTCCAACTTGGTGGAAATAAAGTTTAGTTGTTGTTGTTGGCATAGTGGCTTACTGAAGTTTTTTTTTTGTTGGGTAAAAGTGGTGCAATACCATTTTCTCCTAGTTTAGAACATGTTTCTGTTAAGGACTTTCAAAAGTAGTAGTAGAATTTTAAAGTGTCCAAGTAAATTTCAATTTTACAGGGCCCAATGCACCATATTTTCTTTAATACTATAAAGTATCCAAAGGTGAACCATGTTTTACATTCACTTTTCTAAAGTTTTGGAGTTGACTGATATATTCACGACCTAACTCATTGGCCCTATCTATGGTTTTACTATTACTCCTAACTTTGAATAACTTATTCATATAATAATAATAATTACTGATTAATCAAATTCTATTAAATTACATCCATGATATTTATGATCTTTCATGAGTGTTAACATGGCTAAAAACTTTGTTTCTAGAAGGGCAGCCGGTGTACAAGGCATCTCGTGTTCACGTAGGGGTCCGTGGAAGGGCAGCACTCCAAGGGGTGTGATATAGACAACCTACCCTAATGAAAGGCTTCCACGGCTCGAACCCTATAGGTTATACGTGGACAATTTTACGGTTGCTCCAAGGCTCCCCTCCACTTCCTTTCTGAAAAGGAATTAAAATTTTGAGTACTTTTCTCTGACTTAACTTTTGATAAATTTTGCAGACAATGGAAGAAATGAGACAGAAGGTTCTATACACTAGTCTTGAACTTGAAAAACTGAAAATGGAAGCAAGTGAAGAAAAGAGAAAGAACAATGAATATGTGAAGCAATTAATCAAACTCATAAAGATGGCTTATCAAGAAAGAGATGAAGCAAGAGATCAACTTCAGAAACTAGTCAACAAAATCAATCAGGCTGATTTGCTCAATCCCCCTTCTCAAATCCAAGTTGATTGCTCACTAGTTAAGGCTACGAAGGCGAATTCAAGCACTATTGAATCGAATAGTCTCACTGAAACATACAATTACCAATCACAGAATTCATCCCCCGTCGAGTCCTTTTTGGATGCTGTTACATCCCCTGAACTTTCCAACATCAATGTGGCTGATTCAAATGCAATGCCATTTGTAAACCAGCCTCTCGTTCCGGTTTCATACACTGTTGTCCCTCAAGAAATGGCAAAAGTTGATCTTGATCCGGCCTCGTTGGTTATTGAAAGTCTTGTTAAGGGAAAGACATTGCCTCAACAAGGGAAATTCCTTCAAGCTGTTCTTGAATCAGGGCCACTTTTGCAAACATTACTTGTAGCCGGACCGCTTCCTAGATGGCGTAATCCGCCTCAGTTTCAGCCATTACATATTCCACCAGTTTCAATCAAAGGTTGTGAAGCTGGTATTGTCACTCAGAATAATGCTGCAAATTCTAGTCAGCCTTACTTTGAGATGACTTGTGGATCATCTCAAATGTTGTCACCTTATTTAGGATATCACAGATTGGTGTCTGCAGGTGAAAATTGTAACAGTTTTGTTCACCTGGACAAGAGACAAAGGTTGCAGTGAAACAAGTTGAAGCATGCCTTTGTTTCTGATTTTTGTATAAAATTTGATTTTAATTGAAATAGCTATAACTTGATGAAATAGTTGAAGGAAAGAGTAGTTTAAATTTCTTTGTCAGACCTTCAGCTCTTCATTAGTATAATCTTTGTAGTTCTTGGAGGCAATTACAAGTGCTATATTGACATTTTAGTTTCCAGCATGCTGGAGACAGGGAGACTATAGAAAGGAATTTGTGTTTACAATTTGTAATTGTTGAATTTGCACCAAGAAAAAAGAACAAAACCATGGTTCCCTACTTTCTCCTCCATCAGATTATCTTAAAAGAAGACAGAATTATAAACACAAGAGATACTCTTTGATTTATTCTGATGAGAACATGTGAATGCATAAGTACAACAACAACAACAGACCCAGTGGAATCCCATAAGTGGGGAGAGTAATATGTACGCAACCTACTGGTGGTAAAATGGATAAAAAAATAATTATTCATCCATATTATCCACTAAAAGATGGGTAATGAACTTTTTAAAAATGGGTCAAATATGGATAAAAACCATATTATCCACTTAAAATGGATAACTAATGAGTTTAACTTTTATATTTGTAAAGACTCAAATTGAGGGTTCGTCGAAAGATTAGGAATTCTCCCAAAAGTGACCCTATTTTCTATTTTGATTAAATATGGTTCGGGTCGGATAATTTATCCGTTTTTGCATTAATCGTTTTCTACCCGCCTATTTCCGACCCGACCACCCGTGTGCCACCCTAATGCAGATACCTTTAATTTATGAAGGCGAAGAAGTTGTTTCTGATAGACCATCGGCTCAAATGTTAATTGTCAACTGAGCTACCAGCAAGACTGTAAAACATCCTGGTGATTTCTCAGTGAATGATAGCAGTATCAGAAAGTTTGTATAATCTGTGTAATGCAAAGAGTTCACGCCACGGAATGTATCGACAAACTAAGGACATTTCCAATACAAAATATAGGCTAAACAAGTGGTACATTGAGCACGACTCCGCAAAACTGAAAGCATTTCTTGAAATGCATTCTTTGAAGGATTGCGTATAGGTGTTCGTAACACGCAGGGAAGACAATAATAATCCTAGGCAGATCTTGTCTTGTTTAAAATTTATTTACATGCCAAAGATCTGATCCAAGACGTACCTGGTAAAAAGAGTCTCGTTTCAAAATTTCTTCGATAGTGCGAAGACTCTATATGCGTATCTACACCGAGACCGATCCTTGCTATCAACTCTTTGATCAATGAAACCCGCGAACAAATTGAACGAAAGAACTTGTGTTGAAATTTTTCTCAAAAATCTCAACTCAAATTAGAAGAACAAGAAATACTTTTCTTGTAATTGTATTTTCTCTCTTGGCTTTGTATTACCTCACACTTTCACAAAGTGGGTTTTCTTTTCAAGAATAAGTCATACGGCAAATGTTTCTCAATCACCCTTTATATAGCATCAACTATAAACCTGTTTCTCAATCCACGACGATTTCACTGAGTCGGCCCTGATCCTCGCCGCCTGTGGTGACTTCACGGCGACTAAACGAAAAGTTCTGTTAGAAGAGATTAATCTTCTTCTTCTTCATAGTCTGCCTTTTTAAAGTTTCGATCCGTTGATTTGGCTAAAGTCGTTGTCCTTTTTCGTTCTGTCTTTATTTTCAATTTTTCCCTTGCTTTGCTCCGTCACTTACAGGTTTGTTTACTATTAGATTCTTGAAATTTCTTGTTAAAGTTTCGATTTTATTCATTATTGACGGATTTTCAATCACTTCAACTTTATTCCATCTTATTCAACTTGATTTTTGGTTGATTTGAACTGGGTTTTGGTTATTTTTACAATTACATTCAAGAAATTTTCATTAAGTTTTAGTTTTTATTCATATTTGACTGTTTTAAATCAACTTAAGGTTCTATTTCAATCTAGTATAATTTCGATTTGTTTAATTTATATAAGAATACTCATTATTTCTTAATTTATAGTAGTTATCAAGTGTTCTGGCAATATATTTCATTAGATATTTGTGTAGTTCTCTGCTTTTTCCCTACATTTCCCCTACTACTATCAGGGCTACACCAGTGGTAGTGGTGACAACCATTTTTTGGTTTTCGGGTCGGGGTATTTTTGTGTTTTCAGGGAAATTCTCGAAGTTGTGGAGAGAAGTTGGGCGCACAAGCACTAGCAAAGGAGAGCAACCAGGACGAGCGTCCGCAACGGGCGGTGGGAAGCGGTGCGCGAGTGTACAACTACATCAAGTACAACAAATTAACACAGGTTTGGTTCTCGGGAGTTGGTACCTCCCGTTCTACTGTTTCCCTTTTGGTGTTAGCTAAATTGAAGTTACTTTGGTTCACAATAGTTCAATCATTCGACTAGTGTACTTGTAGTCACTTGTTTCCTTCTAGTTGGATTCGTTGTTCGTTGTGCACTAGTGAGTCTTCTTGAGATTTGTCGTAGTCTTAGTGGCTGTAATCTGGGATGATAGATTAAGGCCATGTACTCGGGTGGGGCAGAGAGTGGGGCCGGGGTCAGGGTGTGGGACGGGAGGTAGGGGAGGTAGAGGGGGCAAGGGAGCCTATAGGTTGAGAATCG